AAATACAATATTGAATAACACTTAGCCTTCTCTCTCAAAAGGATTCCTTATCCAATTTGTTCTTCATTTATACCCCTCCTGAGTACATCGCGCTCCGGGATTATTTGAATCAAATGGCACTACATTGCGACTCTCACTGGAAAGATTTGATTTTCATTTTAAACCAAGTCTCTCAATCCGCATATAAGAACTGTTAGTTGAGTTTTCAAGGGTACAAATTATCCCTAGTTTCCTCCAGGAAATCAATTGTAGGACTATTTTTATGTTTTAGCTCTAATGTTAATTGCCACTCTTATACTTCTTTAATTTAGAATGCAAAGGCTTTTTTTACTTCTGAGTTTAAGAATTTATACAAAATTTATAGAATTTTGCCACCAATTGAAACTATATGATTTAAAGATAAGTCAACGAAAGGTCGGACTTATTTGACTTAGTGCTTCTCTGCCAAGACATTAGTTTTTATCGGTGACTTGTACTCTGGAAGTGACTACATTGTTTTCTCCATCCTGCTATGCCATTATTTTTTTTCTTGTTAATAGTGGCAATACTAATAAATATTGTTATTTCCTTACTTGAATTTTGTATCATTTGCTAGGCTTCCTTATACGATTCTGAATTGAATACCTTCATTGATCGACTTCTCGATGAACTTGGTCCTGATGTTCAACTTGCTGGTCAGCCGCTTCCTACTTGGGAGCGAGTTGGCTTGCTGCAGCCTCAACAAAATCAAGAAAAACTGTCAATGGACGGTGAAGCCTTCGTCTCGATTTGCTCTCCTCTTGCCAGCACTGTCCAAACCCTCCCCACAATCCAGTCTTCCCCACTGATTTCCCCTAAGCATCTAGATATTAAGGCTTTTTGCAAATCGCCCCAGTCAGCCATCGCCCCTTGCAAGTCTTTCACAAAGCCATATACTGACCTTATTCAGTCTATCACTTCATCCAGCACATCTGTTGATCCATTTCGTCAGCCCTCAGGTGACATTTTGGGAGAGAATTATGCTGATTTGGATAGGCGTTGTTCAAACCCCGTAGAAGCGGGCCTCTCTTTCAATTTGGTTCAATCTTCCAAGTCGGTGCCAACTTCTAGCTTTACATCTGTATCGTTCGAGCCCATCAATCGGCCTCAAACATACTCCTCTCCCCCACCCATCATTGTTGATTCACGTATTCATTCATCTTCCTACTATTCGAAGCATGACATGATTTCTGGGTCTGCCGATCGTGTGGTTGCCGCAGAAGCTTTGTCAGGACATAATTCTGCTGTCAGCTTTCCGACATCTGGTGTACAAATGGACTCGGACCCATCATCTTACCCTACAGGCTCTCTTTTGATGGATCTGTCTAGCTCAGGCTCACCAACCTTACTGCCATCCATTAGCAACCTGTCTCATAAACTTAGTAACTCGAAATCATTGTTTCGGTCTGCTAAACTTAAGCACTGCGTTTCCCTGCCGATACTTCGATTGAAATCGCCCTCGAAATTATTTCGGCCATCCCAACGAATTACGCTTCTCAAACCAGAGAGTAAAGCTGATTCGAATCTCATGACACCCAAGTCTACATTGGAAGGGCCATTGGTATTTCATTCTTTGGCATTCACAGAAGCTAAAATTTATCGCCCAAAATCAGCTCCTCCTTTCGACCAATCCTTTAGACTATCTACTAAAGAGTTTTTAGCTAATCAATCTAACCACATCACTCTTACTTCTCTGCCCTCTACTTCCAAGCATAAAAGCCTTGTTACTACTGATTTTCTCTCCTGTCCTAACGGAGCCCCTGGCTCATCACTTTTAGATATATTCGCTCCTTTATCTCCAATGCAACAGCCTCAACCGACCGCACTCTTGTCCAAGTCACCTAGTTTGGGCGAACGGTTGAACGATCTCGGATCTTTACCCGTTTTAGATGGACAAACTTCCTGTTTACCCGAAGTCCCAACTTTCACTTCGCCGGCAATTTTGGTTTCCCACACACGGAATACAGCTCTCGCATCCTTGGGCCAGCCTCTTGGGTCATTGCCAGTTAGCCCTTTCTCTTTAAGCTCACAATTGAATTCACCTCCTACCGTATTATCTAAGGCGACGCCTACGGCCCTAAAGGTTGCTTCTTCGAATGCCGATTGCAGTGATATATTCCCTTCTTGTACTTCGCGCTGCTCCAGAACCGCCGGCTGCTATAAACGAAGCAGGCGAGCCAGCGGCCCCACGAATCCGCTCAGTTTCTCTGTCTCTCTGGAATCAAGAAGCTCTTCATGGTCGCCATCTTCGTCACCCAAGAGAACTCGTATCGTTTTGGGGACTAATTTGTCTCTATTGCATAATGGTAACGCATGTGACGAAGGGAAAATGCTATTGTCTTCTGAGTCAATTAGAAAACTTAGTCCAACTCTAAGAGATAAAAGCAG